AGCAGAGCAGGTCACACAGGGTTGGCCAGGCAGGGCTCTCATTAGGTTAAGTTAGGGTAGGGTTACATTAGGTTAAGTTAGAGTAGGGTTACATTAGGTTAAGTTAGAGTAGGGTTACATTAGGTTAAGTTAGGGTAGGGTTATATTAGGTTAAGTTAGAGTAGGGTTACATTAGGTTAAGTTAGGGTAGGGTTACATTAGGTTAAGTTAGAGTAGGGTTACATTAGGTTAAGTTGGGTAGGGTTACATTAGGTTAAGTTAGGTGGGGTTACATTAGGTTAAGTTAGAGTAGGGTTACATTAGGTTAAGTTAGGTAGGGTTACATTAGGTTAAGTTAGGGTAGGGTTACATTAGGTTAAGTTAGGTAGGGTTACATTAGGTTAAGTTAGAGTAGGGTTACATTAGGGTTAAGATAGAGTAGGGTTACATTAGGTTAAGTTTAGGTTACATTAGGTTAAGTTAAGTAGGGTTACATTAGGTTAAGTTAGGGTAGGGTTACATTAGGTTAAGTTAGAGTAGGGTTACATTAGGTTAAGTTAGGGTAGGGTTACATTAGGTTAAGTTAGGGTAGGGTTACATTAGGTTAAGTTAGAGTAGGGTTACATTAGGTTAAGTTAGAGTAGGGTTACATTAGGTTAAGTTAGGGTAGGGTTATATTAGGTTAAGTTAGAGTAGGGTTACATTAGGTTAAGTTAGGGTAGGGTTACATTAGGTTAAGTTAGAGTAGGGTTACATTAGGTTAAGTTTGGGTAGGGTTACATTAGGTTAAGTTAGGTGGGGTTACATTAGGTTAAGTTAGAGTAGGGTTACATTGGGTTAAGTTTGGGTAGGGGTTACATTAGGTTAAGTTAGGTAGGGTTACATTAGGTTAAGTTGGATGGGGTTACATTAGGTTAAGATAGGGTACAGGGTTACATTAGGACTTGGATTAGGGTAAGGTTACGTTAGGTTAAGTTAGAGTAGGGTTACATTAGGTTAAGTTTGGGTAGGGTTACATTAGGTTAAGTTAGGGTAGGGTTACATTAGGTTAAGTTAGGGTAGGGTTACATTAGGTTAAGTTAGAGTAGGGTTACATTAGGTTAAGATAGAGTAGGGTTACATTAGGTTAAGTTAGAATAGGGTTACATTAGGTTAAGTTAGGGTAGGGTTACATTAGGTTAAGTTAGAGTAGGGTTACATTAGGTTAAGTTAGGGTAGGGTTGCATTAGGTTAAGTTAGAGTAGGGTTACATTAGGTTAAGTTAGGGAGGGTAACATTAGGTTAAGTTAGGGTAGGGTTACATTAGGTTAAGTTAGGGTAGGGTTACATTAGGTTAAGTTACGTAGGGTTACATTAGGTTAAGTTAGGTAGGGTTACATTAGGTTAAGTTAGAGTAGGGTTACATTAGGTTAAGTTTGGGTAGGGTTACATTAGGTTAAGTTAGGTAGGGTTACATTAGGTTAAGTTAGAGTAGGGTTACATTAGGTTAAGTTAGAGTAGGGTTAGGGTAGGGTTACATTAAGTTAAGTTAGGGTAGGGTTACATCAGGTTAAGTTAGGGCAGGGTTACATTAGGTTAAGTTAGGGCAGGGTTACATTAGGTTAAGTTAGGGTAGGGTTACATTAAGTTAAGTTAGGGTAGGGTTACATTAGGTTAAGTTAGGGTAGGGGTACATTAGGTTAAGTTAGAGTAGGGTTACATTAGGTTAAGTTAGGGTAGGGTTCCATTAAGTTAAGTTAGGGTAGGGTTACATTAGGTTAAGTTAGGTTAGGGTTACATTAGGTTAAGTTAGAGTAGGGTTACATTAGGTTAAGTTAGGGCAGGGTTCCATTAGGTTAAGTTAGGGTAGGGTTACATTAGGTTGTAGGGTGAAAAGTAGGGTTGGGTTAGGCAAGTACAAGGTAGAGTAGGGTTACATTAGGTTAAGTAGAGGTTAAGGATTAGGTTGGTATAGGGTTGCATTAGGTTGTTAGGTAGGTTACATTAGTTAAGTAGAGAGGTTACATAGGTTGTTAGGTAGGGTTACATTAGGTTAGTTAGGGTAGGGTTACATTGGGTTAAGTTAGAGGTTACATTAGGTTAAGTAGAGTAGGGTTACATTAGGTTAAGTTAGGGTAGGGTTACAGGGTTAAGTTAGAGTAGGGCGATTAGGTTGGGTTAGATAGGTTGCATTAGGTTAAGTTGGGTTAGGTAGGTTACATTAGGTTAAGTAGAGTAGGGTTACATTAGGTTAAGAAAGTAGGGTTACATTAGGTTGTTAGGTAGGGTATTAGGTTAAGTTAGGTAGGGCTAGGTTGTTAGAGTAGGGTTACAATTGGTTAAGAGTAGGGTTACATTAGGTTAAGTTGAGAGAGGTTACATTAGGTTGTTATAGGTTACATTAGGGTTGATTAGGGTAGGGTTACATAGGTTAGTTGTGGAGAGGTTACATTAGGTTAAGTTAGGAGTAGGTTACATAGGTTGTGGTTAGGTAGTTACATTAGGTTAGGTTAGGAGGTTACATAGGTGGGTTAGGAAGCATTAAGTTAGGGTAGGGTTACATTAGTTAAGTAGAGAGGGTTACATTAGGTTAAGTTAGGTAGTTATATTAGGGTTAGTTAGGTAGGGTTACATTGGGTTGATGTAGAGTAGGGTTACATTAAGTTGTTAGGTAGGGTTACATTAGGTTGGTTAGGTAGGGTTACATTAGGTTAAGTAGAAAGAGGTTTACATTAGGGTAAGAAATGGTATCATTAGGTTGTGGTTATAGTGTTACATTAGGTTGGGTTAGGGGTTACATTAGGTTGGCCAGTGAGGTTACTAGGTTGGAGGGTGCTACATTAGGTTGAGGGTTACATTAGTTAAGTAGGGAGGGTTACATTAGCTGGGTTAGGGCAGTGAAGTTATTAGGTAGGGTTACATTAGGCAAGAGGAGGTTGGGCCAGGTTAGGGTGTTACTGCAGGTAGGGTACATGGGTTAAGAAAGGTTAGGTTGGTACTAGGTTGGTTAGAGTAGGGGTTACATTAGGTTAAGTTAGGGAGGGTCCTATTAGGTTGTTAGGTAGGGTTACATTAGGTTAACTTAGGATTGATATTAAGAATTGGATTGTTTAAGAAAACTTATTTTGTCTCAAGTTGACTATTGTAACTCTTATGAGTCTACCTGTCTAATTATCTACTGAAGAAAGTTCAAAAAACAGTGTGGAACAGGGTTGCCAGACTTATTTTGCTTCCCACTGAGGACCCACTCACCTGTTCTTGATCGAATTGCATTGGCTTCAATAAAAGCAAGGATAAAGTTCAAACTTGTAATGACTTTAAGAGACACTAATGTTTGGTGAGCCTAAGTATTGGGCCAACCTCCTAACCAGTCAGAAGAGGGCACCACGGTGTCTGTATAATATGAATATTATACTATAATTTAATCCCACTTACTGAGAATCAAAGAAAATGCAAATTAAAACAATTTTAATATTTAATTATAAGATGAAGCATAATTATATCTCCGAATACGGGGGCGGATCCAGGAACAAAAGGAAGAGGTCAAGGAAGTTGGTGGGGGGAACATGGCAAGCACAGTGAGCCCACCCATCTGGGGAGGGAAGGGTGGGGCGCTGTAGGCCCCCAGAATTTGTGTTAAATCTGACCAATATCATGGTCATTTTGAGGCCACTTTGAAGCCATATGCACTTGATATTAGGAGATATTCCTAAGTCAATAGTAATTACTTTTACTATACAAAAATGCCTGAGTACATTACAGTACAGTACTGCATTAAAGAAAAATATTGAATTTTATGATGAAAAGGGGGGGTCGACCCTGAGGACCCCTGAATCCACCTTGTTCAAGATAAATAAAAACAAAAGTATTTTCTACGAAACGTATTTTTCAATAAGTTTATGCAAATACCAAAACATTCTTATGAGAGTCCAACGCGTCACGGAAGCCACAAAGAGAATAATAAGTTTTAAGGGGAGTTCAATATCCTTGCTTTACTGTATATTCCGTGGTTAAAGGCATAAATCACGTCAGCACGATGATGTATGGAGCCATGGTAACATTCATGATTTTTTTTTTTGGAATTAGCCCACCCGGGCTTTGTTAGAATATTATTAAAGAATATGATAGCAAGTGTTGAAGGTGACTGCCAGTAACTCAAAGAGATGAGTATTTTATATAAATGTGGGTGAAATATTACGTTAGGTGTACAGTAAACAGCAGGGACCCTGGAGTCGGTAGTTAAATCAAAGCGTTAAACAGCTTAATGACCTTAGTTGTTGAAGAGCAGTTGTAATAAAAGTGTATTATTTCCTTATTTCTTATTTCAATTTATTAACTTACTTTTACTCTTTCTCCATTCTCAGGGGAAGGGAATTAAAAACTATTCTTAACGGATCTTCGGTTATTAATATATATTACCCAGAATGAACAGCTACACCATCAAAACAACCTGTTCTCCCAGTTAGTTAAACATGGGTTACACGAATCACAATACATCTTGTGAAATGGATAAAACCTTAAGTTCACCTCAACCCGCCAGAATTCGAACCCACGGCCCACGAGCCCATGAGATCAGACCGGGGAACGCTAACCGCTGGACCACCAGTATACAAAAGCAATCTTAGACTCTGTTATATTTCATAAAAAAAAAAAAAAAAAAAAACGAATAAAACACAACACCTGATTTTATATATATATATATATATATATATATATATATATATATATATATATATATATATATATATATATATATATATATATATATATATATATATATATATATATATATATATATATATATATATATATATATATACGCCATGTTGCATTCCAGACCCACACACACGTCTACACCCAAACTAAACTAAACTAACTCGACTCAAACCCAACCCAACCCAACCTAACCTAACCTAACCTAACCTAACCTAACCAACCTAACCCAACCTAACTAACCCAACCCAACCACTAACCCAACCCAACAACCAAAACCAACCACCAAAACCTAACCACCAACCAACCAACCAACCCAACCCAACAACTCAACCCAACTGCCTTGTGTGGAATGATTTGAGCTGACTGGCAATTAGGCAGAAGAGTACCACAATGAGCAGGAATAGTCCAAGTGACATTGTGTGAGTGCTACAGAGGACCCTACGGGCTGTGGGGGCAGACGGCTGTGGGGGAGCAGACGGCTGTGGGGGCAGATGGCTGTGGGGAGATGGTTGTGGGGAGCAGATACTGTGGGGGAGCAGATGGCTGTGGGGGAAGTAGATAACTGTGGGGAGCAGATGGCTGTGGGGAGCAGATGGCTGTGGGGGGACAGATGGCTGTGGGGAGCAGATGGCTGTGGGGGAGCAGATGGCTGGGGAAAGAGATAACTGGGGGGAGCAGATGGCTGTGGGGAAGTAGATGGCTGTGGGGGACAGATGGCTGTGGGGAAGTAGATGGCGGAAGTAGATGACTGTGGGGGCAGACGACTGTGGGAGGCAGATAGCTGGGGGAGCAGATGGCTGTGGGGAGCAGATGGCTGGGGAGCAGATGGCTGTGTGGAAGTAGATAACTGTGGGGGAGGAGATGGCTGGGGAAGTATATGGCTGTGGGAAGTATATGGCTGTGGGAAGAGATGACTGTGGGGGGGCAGACGACCGTGGGAGGCAGATAGCTGTGGGGGAACAGATGGCTGTGGGGGAGCAGATGGCTGTGGGGGAGCAGATGGCTGTGAGAAGTTGCTAAGTTTATTACCTTCCTAATCATTTAGCCGTTTTCAGTCGTTCGGGATCAACTGGAGCTCCCACACATCAGTCGTACGCCTAACTGATGTGTGCGACTAGTGAGAGAACTTGGACACCCATCTCATGGTGTTAGCTCCTGAACGACTGGAGAAATCGGCTGGATGTCTCGTGGTCTCAAACCCATCTTGTGAGTCTCGGCCGTTGGTTCTCTGTTCCTCACATGCACATTCAGCTAAGGTTCTCTTCAATTTAGCTTCTACCCACTCTCTCCAGTAGCTTCAGCTAAAATACCAATTTTATAAAACACAGGTTCAAGGCTACATTTAAGAACTAGACTAAAAAATATAAGTACCAGGGCTTCACTAAAGGGCCGGTTTCTAGAAATACAGGATCATGGGCTTCAACTGCCACCCATCTTTTTCAGAGCCCTGGCGAAGAAGCTTCCCAGTGGCGTTTCTCGGTAAAGCTTCAACGAAGAAGATCCCCTGCTGCCAGATGCAGGCGAGCGACTCGAGGCTTCAGGAAGCTGAAAGTGAAGCCTTATCTCAGAGAAAGAAGGTGAAGCTTACTTAAGTGAAAGGAAATTAAGCTTATTTAACTAATGAAGTAGATGAGGATATAGCTTACTTAAGTAAAGGAAGTGAAGTTTACTTAAAGAAACTGAAGCTTTAATAAAGTTACCTATCCCTACTTAAGGAAAGTAAAGCCCACTTACAAAAAATTAAACTTACCTTGGAGATGGAGAAGCTTAATTAAGAGAATATAATGCATACTTAAGGGATGTAAAGCTTAAGAGAATTGATGAGCTTATCCAAAAAAACTAAAGCTTATTTAAGAAGCTTAAATTCGCTTAAACACGATAAAACTGTTTTAGGTAAACCACACTTCAGGGAAAGGTCAATATTTTAGAGGTGGTTAAGCTTACTTCAGTGAGCTTATTAAGTGGTGAAGTAAAGCTCACTATAGATTGTTGCTGTGAATGGTTACTTCACTTTACAGATGAGCGAGGACGAGTGCAGTGTCGGCCACGCAGCCTCCCTGTGTACTGTATAACATGATCCCAAATGAGCAGTTATGCCTGGGGGATTGACTCACTTTCAACTATATCCTGACGTAGCTACGGCAGGTAAGATATCACCTTAATTTGGTGGGTTTACCTGTGTATATCCTCCTGGTGAATTGTCCCTAGTCACGATAAACGCCCTAGGAGCTTCACCCATACTCTCATCCGGTACGCCCACTACGCCCACATCCACCACGCCGGGATGTTGGCAGATGATTTCTTCAAGTTCCGAGGGCGAGACCTGAGTAGCCAGATGTATTAGTCAGGTGTATGGGGTCCGGTGTGTGTGGGGGGGAGGGGGACTGTGTGTGTGTGTGTGGAGGGCAGGTGTGTGTGGGGGGGTCAGGTGTGTGAGGGGGTCAGGTGTGTGGGGTAGGTGAGGGGGTCAGGTGTGTGGGAGGGCTGGAGTGTGTGTGAGGGGGGTCAGGTGTGTGAGGGGTCAGGTGTGTGTGGGGTCAGGTGTGTGTGTGTGTGTGTGTGTGGGGGTCAGGTGTGTGTGTGTGGGGGTCAGGTGTGTGTGTGTGGGGGACTGGGATGTGTGTGGGGGGGCCAGTGTGTGAGGGGGCAGGGGTGTGTGTGTGGGGTCAGGTGTGTGTGTGTGGGGGCCAGGTGTGTGTGGGGGTCAGGTGTGTGTGGGGGTCAGGTGTGTGGGGGGCCAGGTGTGTGGGGGGGCTGTGTGTGGGGGGCTGGGGGTGTGTGTGGAGGAGGACTGTGTGGGGTGTCAGGTGTGTGGGGGCTGGGGGCTGTGTGTGTGGGGGCTGTGTGTGGGGGGGTCAGGTGTGTGTGTGGGGGGTCAGGTGTGTGTGGGGGGTCAGGTGTGTGTGTGGGGGCCAGGGTGTGGGGGGTCAGGTGTGTATGGGGGGTGTGTGTGGGAGGAATCAAGGTATGGGTGCCAGGTGTGGGGGGTCGGCGTGGGGGAGAGCAATACGTAACCGGAACGAAGCTACTGAT